CAGCAAACACACTGTGCGATGATCATGCTGTATCGTAGGCTATCTTTGGTCGCAAGACCGTGACAACAGCCATCTTTGAACCTCTCTTGCTGTACGACATAAGAGCACCGATTAGGAGCCACGATCACAGAAATCGCCACGATTGATTCACGACGCCTATCTTTCGTCTGGGATAGCAGAAAATCGTGCTGTGTGTCTCGGGCGTAAGACTGCAGCAGCACTCACATAAACACTCCCAATAAAATTATTTAGGCTAAGCATCAACATTCACAAACCACTGTTCACGGTTATTTTTTAACAGAAAAGAAAGCAACCTGCTCATAATCACGACTTAAGTGGGAAATAGGAAGTTTCCGATAGCATGTGAAGACTGCAGAGAAGCCTCTCGCTCAGCACAGTGGAGTGCATCGTTTTGTTAACTTTGTGGTTAACAAATTTTGATTATTTTGAGTCCGTTGCATTTTTCCCCATTTCAAACTATACGAGTGACATGTCTTGGGTATTCTATAGCTTTGATATAACTGAGTTCATATATAACTGAACTGCGCTCTGGCCCACCTCTTCCAACCGAGCCAGGGACGGCTAAACGAGCGCGGCACAAAGCGATCACACTAGTCAAATGAACCGGACTTTGGGGGTCAAACACGGGGGTTATCGGCACGGTTAAGATTGCCTAAAGTGAGTACACCCTTATTCTCCCACATCCCGCAAACACGAGTCTCTACCCGCCCGCACCCGCACTCGCCCATCAAGTGTTGTCCTGCACTGCACTCTTTTGCGTTGGGTCCCACGATAGTGCAGGTCTCTACTCGGAAGGTGCCTGTTATAATGTTATGATCGAGGCTCTGGATTTTGAGCATAACTTGTTTTTTTATAACAAACTTTAAAATATTTCCTATAAAAACATCACCTTCAACTCAACCTTGCCAAGACAGAACTGCTTGTGGTTCCATCAAACCCATCGTTTCATCACAATTTCAACATCCAGTTAGGCTCATCAACCAGAACTCCTTCAAAATCAGTCAGAAACCTTGGAGTTATGATTGATGATCAGCTGACTTTCTCAGACCACATTGCTAAAACTGCCCGGTCCTGCAGATTTGCTTTATTCAACATCAAGAAAATCAGCTTGCGTTCTGCAAGTGAACGATGCATTTTTGTGCATCCCAAAGAGGCACACAATCATTTTCACAGACTTTTACTTTAACTGTTCCCTCCTGGTGGAATGACCTACCCAACTCAATCAGAGCAGCTGAGTCCTTAACCATCTTCAAGAAACGACTAAAAACACATCTCTTCCATCATCATCAAAACAAACTCCATTGTGAATTTGTGCTTTTTGTCTGTTGCAGTGTTGGTAATCTTAAGCAAAATTTAGGAGAGACATAATATCTGTAATATTTTATTTTTCTTTTAAGATCCTGTGTTTTAATATTTGTAAGATTTTTTTTCTTTCTTTTAAGATATTTGTTAATGTCTTTGTTTGGTCTTCTTGAATGCATTGTACAGCACTTTGGGCTGCTCTTGTGGCAGTAGAAATGTGCTATATAAGAAAATAAAAATAAACTTGATGCTTAAACGTACTTAAACACATGCAACTGAAGATCAGGGGCCCGTTCTTCGTACATCGCTTATTACATCCGAGATCAAATGTCACATCCAAGATGATATCATCACGCTAATCAGGATCTGGCTAATTGGGTTCTTCGAACGCAGCTGTTGTTGATGATTAGTATGGCTGGATTGAGTTATCTGAGATAATTGCTTGTTCATGGGTTGGTTTAAAAGGGGCTATGTATCAATACTCGAAACCACGATCAGCAGTGCAGCGATTGGCTGGCGGCAAGACAGGCACGGAATGGCATCAAATAATTAAAAAAAGACACCTGACGAAAAACTTGACCAATTTCTGGACTTTTATAAGGAAACAGCCAAGCGAACAAAACTACATAAATGTTAATAGATAAATGAAATGTGCACTGTTTTTATTTTATTTTTATTTTTTACATGATTCCCAATTATTTATATTCACGATTTGTAATATTTGTACAGGCTCTACATTTTTATTTCAATGTAGCAATTCATTTAATTTGATATTTTAACAGATTTGTTATGTGACTTCATTAATTAAAGTTTCTTAAGGGTCAAGCTCATGTTATCGGCATCTGCTGCGCTCCATCAAGCCCCTCCCATAATATCTGTCATCACTCAAATTAATGCACGGCTTTACATTATCTGTATAGCATGTGTGTAAGACTCCAATACAATTATGAAGTAATAATTTTATGAGGAATAAATCTTTCAGTGAGTAAAACTGGCTGTGTCTGTAGTAGGGCTGCCCTCGACTAAGGATTTTTCTGGTCGACTAGTAGTCGTTCATTTGAAGCATTAGTCGACTAATCGCACGTTTATTAATAAACCATTTAAATCATTATTATGAGCCTTTAATTGCCTATAGCTTAATAAGCGCACGCATAAAGCTTGCCACAGTGCTCCGGCAGAAGTAATGATTATGAATGTGTCAGTGAAAAACAGTAACGAGACTGCATTAACATTTTAATATTTTGATAAACTAGTGCGTTCTTTGTTTTCGTTTTAAGAGATGAAGTCGGTGACACTCGTCATCTCCTCAGTAGAGGATGCGCCTGTATGCACGCTTCATAAGGGATTACATAATCTGAGAATATTTGTTTTCCATTTGAATTGGTTCATTTGAAAGTAGACATTTCACTCTCTATAGATATATATTTTAATGCCTGTAAGGCAAAGATATACACAGAGTTTCACGCCCAAGTTCACAGAGACCGAGACGGCAGAAAGTGCATCCTGTTTGCTTTCATTATATTACAAAAGCGCGATTAGTTTTTAGTGAGTGGACACAAATAAACGTAGATTCTTTACAGATTTGAAAGATGTATTGCTTTTATCTGTATGACCAAAAATGACGGAGTAGCCTATTTTAAGAGCAAGTGAGCGCAGCGGCGCCTCCATCTGTTCTGCAGTGAGCGCTAATGCAGTGTTCAGCTTCCACACAGACACTTGAATATAGCGCACATTTCTCTAGGCTAACATTAGATTGAGCGGCCATGTAAAGTTGCTAATACTTACATATTTCAGATGATAAGCCATATTTGTGGTTGATGAATGATAGGCTTGATTTATTATAATTTAAATAAAAAATAACTAATTTGGTTACTATTATTATTATGTTAATAGTCACTGTTTATTTACAGTGTGATAAGAATTTTGCAATTGTAACATATTTCGTAATTGATTTGTTATACTTTAAATATAATAATAATAATAGTAGTAATAATAATAACCAAAATAATAATCTTATTTTATTATTAAATACTGTTTTTTTACAGTGTATTAATATTGTTGTTGTTAAGAAGAAATACTGACTTTTTAATTTTACAGTAGAATAGTATTATTGCAATCATAAAATGTATTTATTGATTTATTCTAATTTAAATAATAGAATAAAAATTCATATTTTGGTTGATATTATTATTATTGTTGTTATTATTATTATTTTTAAATACTTTAAAATACTTTACATTTTACAGTATAATAGGATTATTGCAATTTTAACACATTTCTTTAATTATGTTATCACGATCACCAGCTTTAGTGCCCATGAGTTCCACGGTGTGTTCCAAACGGGATATATCGCCCTCCGAAGGGCACTTCGGAGTGAAAACAATCGAGGCCGCCATATTGAAGGGTCATTCCAAACCGAAGTGCTCAAAACTGGTCACTTCAAAGGGCCCTTCGGAATGAAGAGGATTTCAAAGGGTACAACTGATGGACACTTCAGGCTCCCGTGATCCTTTGCACAGATTCTTTGCATGATGACGGCGCCTCCGTGTGGGCACGGGATGATGACGTAGAAGGGCACTTAAAGAAACAGTTGTTTGGTGCCCTACACCCTTCAACCCTTCGAAGCTCTCACTCCGGAGGGTAAACCCTTTGAAGGGATTAGGGCTCCGAATGGAACGCAGGGACCATTTCCCATCATCCTTTGCCCGGACTCATTGATTGCAGTCACCTGTCTCTCATTACGTCATCAATGTCACACTATAAGAATGGCACACACACGCTCACATCACGGTTGATTGCTAGACACTTCTGTGTTGCCTTGCCTTGCCTTAGTTTTCTTTGATCTTGGACTGTTGTCTGTTTTTGTGATTGTTTGCTGCCTGCCCTGACCTCTGCCTGTTTTTGGATTACCTTGGATGTTTCTGATTGCTGTTACTGACCCTGCCTGTCTGACGACATTATATGAATAATGCGGCATTTGGATCCCCAGCTCCATTTTCACGACTCCCACGTTACATGTGTTACAGTTGCAATAATCCTATTATTTAAATTATAATACATATTTATTTAGTTATTTGCTATAACTCGAATAATAATTGTTAATAAAAAGGGCCCCAGTATAGATACAAATACTTCGGCTGAAGTTGTATTTGCAGTATATCAAAGGAAATACTTAGTAGTTTGTACATTCTATAACACATTTTACATGTTGTACTGAATAAAATGAATTTCTTGTTCATAAATATGCTTTCATTACGCTCATTTTAAAGCTCTGAAAATATTTTCTAAAATATTATATAAAAAAATATTCTTTCACGATTTGATAATTTAAAACATATTTATTGTAACTACAGTAAAGCTATTTTAATAAGTGCTGTGGTTAATGTCATATTTGATCATCTCAGAAACTGAAGCTCATTTCAGTCTTGTGAGGAATCGATTATATTCGTGATTCATACATTCAGACAATTACATCATCAATTACAATCTGATCTCAAGATGATCTGACATTGGGTTTTATTATTGCTGCACAAACAATAGAGGAAAATGAGTGACATGTTCTTCATGAATCTTGTTTATGAAAGATTAAAATTATAAAGATTATAATTTTGATAGCAGTAATACAAATAATTGATGTGATGCTACAATAGAAACAAACAGATTGACAAAAGCACAGAAACAAAGAATCGTCACTCAGCAGGACACACACACACATATATGAGGATTTATTACACACATTTATTCTGTTATTTCAGTGACAGAAGTGCGGTATTAAGTCATGAAGTGCAGTATTAATGTGATGAAGAGACTATAACATCTCACTGTCACTGATTTATCACACAGCTCAAAGCATTATGGGTAGAATCTCTCATGAGTCTATTCTGATTCATCAACACAGTTTCACTGATCCAGGATAAATAGTAAACCTAAATCCAGGATAGAGCGTCTGAGTGAATGTGGTCTGGACTGTGTGGATGAGGCTCATTGTGTGAGAGACGCTGTAGAAGGACAGAGTTCCTGCACTGTGATCCACATACACTCCTATTCTACTGACATTATCACCATACACTCCTGTTCTCCTGCTGATGGACTCTACAGGGAGATCAGTCTTTATGTTATTGTGTTTGAATACGTGACTGCTGTACAAACTCCAGGACTGATCGTTATTTCCAAACCAGCACTCTTTACCCCATCCCTTCCTGCTGATGCTCTTATAAGACACTGATATACGCACATCTCCACTCCACTCCAGCTCCCAGTAACATCGTCCACACACACTCTCTCTACACAACACCTGAGAACACACATCAAATCTGTCTGGATGATCAGGATGATTCGGATGATCTGGATGATTCCACCGATACTCTCTCACACGTGTCACCTTTCTGTTCTCCTCAGACAGAATGAGTTCAGTGTGTGCTGTGTTTGGATCCAGTGTGAAAGAACAGGCATCTGAACACAAGAACAGAGACATTTAAAACACTACAACAATCACTACAGCTGTGTGTGTGTGTGTGTGTGTAGGTGTGTTGTGAGTGAGTGCACTTGTACAGCTATCTTTGTGTGGGCCGGTTTGAGTTTTAGATCATCGGAGTGAGGACAATCTTGTAAAGTGAGGACATTTTGGCCTGTCCTCACTTTCTGAGACCCCTTTTAAGACGTTTTTGAGGGTCAAGACTTGGTTTTAGGGGTCAGGTTATAATTGGGTAAAGGGTAGGTTTGGGGTAAGGGTTTGGGTGAGGCACTTAGTTCTGATGGGTATGTTTAGGGTAAAGAGCTAGAGTTTGCATAGTGTCAATGTATGTACTCACAAAGATAGCTATACAGAGTTCTGTGTGTGTGTGTGTGTGTGCGTGTATCCTAGGCATTGATGTTTGCCTACAAAACAACCACTAGCTCTGCAGCCCTTTACCTAAATTCAGAAGCTTTTGTTCTGTTAGTGAACGGCTAAAGACACATCTGCTATGGAAGAAAAATAATGCCATATGTCTTTGAAACAAAAAAGCATGTTGAATAGCTCTAACTGAAAAAATAATGCATTGCATTAACAGTGCTTGCATTTTAATGCCTTGTATTTCCAGGGCTTGCATTTTTAGGTCCTGAAATCTAACATAGTTGTTTATTTAAGCTGTGAATTATATGATGTATAATATTCTAATATATTCTAATATTCGACAGGCAAATTTCAGTCCATTTTATTTCACTTGCCAAATTCGCTTCTACAAATTCAGTGGTTAAAACTCAGCAGAAAATTCAGCATTGCACATCCGGGAGCTGCAGGAATAGCAGTAGAGCACCGATGCATGATCTCCAGCTGCTGTCAGTCGCTCACCAGCAGGTGGCGCAAGCGGCTGTTCATGAAGACCAAAGCAACAGGTGGATTAAGTCATTCATTCACAAAAACAGATCTGCAGAAATGGAGCAAGCGCTAAGTAGAAGTTTTGATTATTGGGGCCAGTTGTTTCCTGTAGCATACATGCAAGCAGCTCTCTCTACCACAAAGAAGATTATAATGCTATTTTACCCAACGCTGAAGTACAGAACTAACATTACATCTGAGGAAGGCATATTGCTTTCGGTTGCTTAGTTCCCGTTACTTGCATCATGGCTTGTGTGGCGCTGTGCTGTAATACTGTGGTTCCCCTCATGCGTCACACTCCAGGATTCCCCAACGATGGGTAACGCGCCTCAGTGAACTAATACAGTGATATAAGACCTCGGATATCAGAATACACTTCATTGATGATTATGCAAACTATATACAGGCAAGCAAATGAGGCCAGAAGAACGCAACGTGCTGCATTTTCTTTATAATTGCTTTCCCTTACCACTGATCTATAGAGTCGACAGTCCTACAATACAAAGATATCAACACCACGATTAGTTTATCAATATGCAACCACTTTATATTGACATAAAGGAGTTAAAAACCGCATTGACGCGCTATCGCACCCAAGGGACCATCAGACAATTCCACGACCGAGTTAAAACGTGTATTTTAATTAAAATGACTTTTAACATTTAAAATAACACACCGTCAAATTCTAAATCTTGTATTGCTCATAGTGATTTTCTACAGGTGAGATTTTGTCAATACCTCCCTTCATATATACAGTACAGTACAGTACACAATTATTTACATATAAAAGATCCCTGGAAAGGGTTTTTTCTGTTCAAATTGTTCCAGGTAATTTCGGTGGAAAAGTGGCTAATGAATGACTTGATCCACCTGTTGCCTTGGTCTTCATGAACAGCCGCTTGCGCCACCTGCTGGTGAGCGACTGACAGCAGCTGGATATCATGCATCGGTGCTCTACTGCTATTCCTGCAGCTCCCGGATGTACAATGGCACATTTTCTGCTGAATTTTAACCACTGAATTTGGGGAAGCGAATTGGGAAAGTGAAATAAAATGGACCGAAATTTGCCTGTCGAAGTGAATTCTGGAAGGTGAATATGAATGATTGAATTTTTTATTATGAAAATGTGTGTGAAATATTTTTAATTGAAATATTCACAGTTTAAATAAACAACTATGTTAAATTTCAGGACCTAAAAATGCAAGCATACAAGACATTAAAATGCAAGCATTGTTAATGCAATGCATTATTTTTCCAGTTAGTGCTATTCAACGTGCTTTTTTGTTTCAAAGACAAATGGCATTATTTTTCTTCCATAATCTGCACTTGACCCTCTAACGCTAGCACTCTCTATTAATTTTCTATTCTATCTACGTTTCATTCTTTTTATAGTCGCTTTGAATAAAAACATCTGCCAAATGACTAAATGCAAATGTAATGTAAATGTAGACATACATTTCTTTATTCCTGCTGTAATCCTGGATTCTCCTCCATGATCCACACTAGAAAACACACACGGAGACACATTCAGTCAGTAAACACACAAACACACACTCAATCTCACAGCAAAAAAACATCTTGGTTACGTACGTAACCCTCGTTCCCTGATGGAACGACATTAGGGGGTTTACTTGAGAGCCCCAATCATCTCTGATTAAACCAAAAATTAATTATGTGACACATTTTAGGCACAATATTGTCTGTTTTTGCAATTTCACCAGATTCTCTGAGCAGCATACAGTGACTCGCTCTTGCTGCCATCTACTGACGGTTTTTATTTCAAATTTACTTATTTATTTTTTTAGATCATTTCACAGTCATGGAATAGACTGAATAGCATCAGCAGTGTAAAAAGTGGAGGAAGCAGAACAAGAGTTCAGATCCTGTCCAGTAGTCAAAGCAGCAGTTAGGATCTTCAAGGTCAGGGTTGTGCACAGTTAGGATTATTAATGAATGGACACATGTAGAGAATACGAAGCAGGCCTATCATTGATGAGTAATTGTTTTTACATATGGTGCACATGTACGGATTTACGTACGGATTGGCCTTGGCTCCGTCTGCGTTCCAGAAAATGATGCACCTTATATTGCAAGATATACAGAACGTGGCAAACTACTTGGATGATATTACAATCTGGGGACGCACTGCTGAGGAGCACGAACGCTCTCTGAAAGCCATTCTGCAACGTTTGCAGGATTCTTGACTAAAAATGAATGCATCAAAATGTCACTTCAGCCAGACCAGCTTACAGTTCCTAGGCCACACAGTTACAGTGCAAGGTATCAAGCCGGACAAACAACACCTGTCTGCAATTTTACAAGCTCCGGCTCCTACAGATGCCGTGAAGCTGCGCTCGTTCCTTGGCCTGCTGTCTTGGTACAGTAAATTCATTCAGAATTTTGCCTCTGTGGTTGAGCCATTACGTGCCGGTTTGCGAAAGGACGCAGAGTTCTCTTAATCGGAAGAAGCACAGAACAGCTTCGCTTCGGTCAAAGAGTTACTTGTTAATAGTCCTGCTTTGACCCTTTACAACCCTGATAATACAAAGCAGGCCTATCATTGATGAGTAATTGTTTTTACATATGGTGCACATGTACGGATTTACGTACGGATTGGCCTTGGCTCCGTCTGCGTTCCAGAAAATGATGCACCTTATATTGCAAGATATACAGAACGTGGCAAACTACTTGGATGATATTACAATCTGGGGATGCACTGCTGAGGAGCACGAACGCTCTCTGAAAGCCATTCTGCAACGTTTGCAGGATTCTTGACTAAAAATGAATGCATCAAAATGTCACTTCAGCCAGACCAGCTTACAGTTCCTAGGCCACACAGTTACAGTGCAAGGTATCAAGCCGGACAAACAACACCTGTCTGCAATTTTACAAGCTCCGGCTCCTACAGATGCCGTGAAGCTGCGCTCGTTCCTTGGCCTGCTGTCTTGGTACAGTAAATTCATTCAGAATTTTGCCTCTGTGGTTGAGCCATTACGTGCCGGTTTGCGAAAGGACGCAGAGTTCTCTTAATCGGAAGAAGCACAGAACAGCTTCACTTCGGTCAAAGAGTTACTTGTTAATAGTCCTGCTTTGACCCTTTCCAACCCTGATCTGCCTACACTCATCTCGACTGACGCATCTGATTATGGCCTCAGGGCTGTTTTCTCACAAATACATCCTGATAATTCTGAACGCACCGTGGTTTTCACATCAAGAACACTTACCCGAGCCGAACGCAAATATTCGACCGTGGAAAAGGAGGCGCTCACTTGCGTTTGGGCGGTCGAGAAATGGAGGACATACTTATGGGGTCGAACATTCAAATTGCGTACAGATCATCAGGCTTTAATCACTTTACTCACTACTAAAGGGGGGGACCGCGCAGGAATGCGTATTGCACGCTGGGCCGCGCGCTTGCTGTGTTTCAATTATGAAGTGATCTTCCGACAAGGCAGTCATAACTTCACTGCCGATTGTCTGTCCCATCTCCCTCATGAACCCCTGGGAAGTGATTCAGATACTGAGCCAGAATAAGTAGTTTTGCTTACCTCTGCGCTGACAGCCGTGACTCCGAAAGAGTTTGCAGCTGCTTCTTCCTCCAGTCCCGAGATGTGCAAGCTGCACGCACAGATTCAGCGAGGCCGGCCAGTTGCTTTTGTGTCTTCAGTGAGTGCAAAGCAAGTGATTCATTTCCTCGCCTCCGTGTTTAGTCGTCATGGGAACCCGGAATGTATAGTGACGGAAAACAGACCCCAGTTTACAGCCGCTGAATTCTCTGCCTTTCTTAGAGCGAGGGACATTGCTCATGTGCGCATGCCAGTATACCATCCATCTGCCAAAGGGGCAATCGAATGCTTTCATAGAGTGCTCAAGAGTTTGCAATACTTCAGTCGCAACCATGGAAAACCACTGTTACAGAATTCTTCCACGTCTATAGAACGACGCCACATTCCACTACTGGCGTGACGCCTTTTGAATTGTTGCACGGAAGGAAAATGCGCACTCGCCTGGATGTCTTGTCCCCTTTAACGTCGGAAGGGCTTACGGATGTGGTGCGCGGGCGAGTCCCGGCACAGCAAGCAAAGATGAAGTGGTGGTTTGACACGAAGCGCAGAGCCTGTACTACTGTTCTACAACAAGGGGACAAAGTGCATGTTAAGCTTCCGTGGCACGTACCAAAAGGACACCCAAGATTTTCACAGCCAAAAGAGATCAGGAAGCAGGTGGGAAAGAATACTTTCATTCTTTCAGATGGAAGGAAATGGCATGCTTCATAACTGGCGCTGTCTTCTGCGTGATCGAAAAGAGTCGATGTTTGGCTTACGCAGCTTTCTCACGAGCAATACACAGATCTGGACCTCGTGATTGTAATTCACCCCGTTCTCAGAGGGTGAGGTGTCCTCCAAGATGGTTAAAAGACTATGTGCACTAAATACACAAATAATTGAATTTGAAGTTTGTTGTTGTATTTGACATGCCTTTGAACACGTTAAATTGTGCATACGAATTGAGTTCGGAAGTCGTGTTACATATTAACGCGTTCAGTTGTGAATTTCTAAAGGAAAAAGTGTTCTAGAGTAAAAGGTGAATATGTTATATTGTTGACGCTAGGTGTCGCTGCGGGGTAGAAGTAAGAGGGAAGGAGAAGTGTGAGAAGAAGTGTATGGTTGGTTGTGCTGTTGCATATGGATATTAAAAAGAGCATCATCTGAGTTACAACGTACTTCCTCGTGTTGATTTAATCAGTAGAAGACATAACATGTTTGACGGCTGTCAAACATTCCGGTAAGCAAATGAGTGGTCTGAATTTATTTGCACAGCACATTTGTTATTTTGGTTGCGCCCCCTGTGTGTGTGTATACACACACACCAGTTCGTTCTGGTCCTCGAATTTGATGCTGCCAAATCACAGACATGCAGATATAGAGCTATATCACATGACTACTTTTAAATATATATACAAGTAGTTGAAATAATAAAACCTAAACTTGTCTTGTTCAACATACTTGAGTTTGTCCAGTGAGCAGTTTGGATCCTTCAGTTTTTCAGAGAGCAGCTTGACTCCTGAATCTCCCGGGTGATTGTAGCTCAGATCCAGCTCTCTCAGGTTTGAGGTGCTTGAACTCAGAGCTGCTGACAAATAACCAAAGCCTTCCTCTGTCACCATACAGCCAGACAACCTACAAAAACAGCCCCACATGACATTAGTTTGACATTCAGACATTCAATTTTAAAGGGGTCATGAACTGCCTTTGTATTTTTTTATTTTGTACTGTTCTCTAAGGTCCACTTATAATGTTATCAAGATTTCTACATTAAAAAAAACATAATTTAGAAGTAATAAGCTGTTTTCTGTCCTGTTTTTAACCCCCCTCATCAGAACGCTCTGTTTGAAGAGGCGTGAAGAATTATAGACTGGGAAGTAAACGCCCAATGCTATGATTGGCTAATAGTTGTGGTTGTTTGATAGCGTACATTCCTCAAACATGGACTCTTCTGTGATTTAGGTCAAATACGCATAACTCAATACATAATAAAAACAGTTACTCACACTTGTGTTGCGACATTACTGACGGATCCAATATAGTCGGCACAGCATCGTCCTTTAGTTTTAATCTTTCTGCAAATCCTGCATCGAATTGCCTTGTTTGTAAACGAATCCATGGTAAAAATTAAGTAAGCAAAGGACCGAGTTCTTACTGACGTGGTCTGGATCTTCATTTAAATTAAAGTTAATTTACTCTTTCCAAACGTTGGGATCAGAAGGAACACAAACACTGTTTTTCCACAACTTGGCACTGCACAGCATCTTGTTGTCTTCAGAACCATCTTTATCGTTTGGTTTCTGCGTAGACCTGGACATTCGCCTCGCTCATAAACACTATATGCGCGAATCGGTGGGCGGGGCTAAACAGGCAGTGTTGTTGAAGCAGGCGTTAATCTTTTTCTGTGGAGGCGGTGCTTATCCACACTGTTACATCATAGAATAGAACATTCCAAAAGCTGTCTTTTTGGCAGACTGCCTTCAATATAAGCTTACAGGATATTTATATAGTACAATGACCTCTTATGTCAAAAGATCAAGAGAAATTTGGTTTCTCAGTTCATGACCCCTTTTAAGGCTGTGTGTCCACTAAAGCATTTAAAACACCAGGCACTGAAAAAAAAGCGTTTTTTTTTAGTTGAGACGCTGTGGCTACTATGATACAGAATATCTGCTGTAGTAATATGACAGACACATTGCGATTTAAATGTATCTTTAAGCATAATTTTTCATAATATTATGGTAGTCTGGCAATTCTACCTGGTAAAGACATACATATTCAGAGACAAGCAATATTAACATCTCCATTGTTGTACAGAAATAGTACAAGCAGGGTGTGACAGTTGGTCAGTGTGGTATTAGTCCCCCCCCTCCTCTGCTGTGATTGGTTATCTGACTAAAAAGTGACAGTGATGAGTGCTCCGTTTTACCTAAAGGTAAACATATTTCAACCCTCAGTGCCAAGCACACAGCACTCAGCGTGAAAAAAACACTCAGTGCCTCATCACGCTCCTGCCGTTTTTAAAAAATGCGGCAATCCCATTGAAAACAAGGCTTTTAGTTGAGGTCATTGATAATCTATTTATTATAAGAGAATTAAAAAAAATTACATACTTTAGAGCAGGGCTGTCCAAACTCGGTCCTGGAGAGCCGGTGTCCTGCAGAGTTTAGCTGCAACCCTAATTAAACACACCTGAAGCAGCTAATCAAGCTCTTACTAGGCATAGAAACGTCCAGGCAGGGGTGTTGGGGCAAGTTGGAACTAAAATCTGCAGGACACCGGCCCTCCAGGACCCAGTTTGGACAGCCCTGCTTTAGAGAGTATAGCATGATTTGCAACATGTATTGTAGCTGTAAAATGCATTTTTTCAAGCTAATACATGTCATGCTTAACTCTCCTTACTGATTATCATTCTCTTTGTCATTGTTTTTGTCCTTTTAGTTGATGGATTTTTTTTTTTGCCAAAGTGTTTGAATGTATCTTTTCAATAAATTTATAAAAATAAAAATTGAAAATGTATTTTTAAAAATAATAAAATCGAACAGTGCTTATCCAGGTCAAAGTGATTGAGATGGCCAATCAAATAAAGGAAGGTTGGTTTTCACATCCATGTTATAAGTGGCCCAAACTCACAGCACTTGCATGAGATGGAGTTTGTGTGGAGCAGCATTTACTATGAAAGACACTGAAAACACTGGATCAAGAACTAAACCTTATCATGTACTTACAACCATGCATTGTTTTTTATTCATTTTTTACGTAGAATTCATAAAAAAGTTATCAGCCTAACTGGCAAGCAACACTAGTTACATATACTTGCCAAGGCCAGTTTTACTTATACTTGGCACTTGGCAAGTGGTAATTTTGGACCCTTTCTAAGATGCAAAGTACACAATGCACACACAGTTGCAGGGGCGTCATAAACGGGAAAAGCGGGACAGAGTGCATAAGGCCCAGAGGCTTAGAGGGGCCCACAACAATGTCCTTTGGGGGGCCCGGCTGAGATGAAATAAATGTATTTTGCAGTTTCTTTAGCAATTTTTTCAGGCCATTTTAAAATTTCAATCTTATATTCAAGATACAGTCAAAATGGACATTTGTATGAATATGAATAAAATCACATCCCTGCAAATGCATTTGTCTCTTGTTCTGGCATTCCACCGAGAGCAGATTACACATTTGGTGACAAATGTAACAGTCAATTATTGTGTTAGCATTTGGATATATATATATATATATATTTTTTTTTTTTTCATAGAAAACCATTTACCTCAGTATCTCCAGCTTACAGCTCTTCAGTCCATCCAGAAGCTTCACTCCTGAATCCTGCACGTCCATAAGGCCCAGAGGCTTAGAGGGGCCCACAACAATGTCCTTTGGGGGGCCCGGCTGAGATGAAATAAATGTATTTTGCAGTTTCTTTAGCAATTTTTTCAGGCCATTTTAAAATTTCAATCTTATATTCAAAATACAGTCAAAATGGACATTTGTATGAATATGAATAAAATCACATCCCTGCAAATGCATTTGTCTCTTGTTCTGGCATTCCACCGAGAGCAGATTACACATTTGGTGACAAATGTAACAGTCAATTATTGTGTTAGCATTTGGATATATATATATTTTTTTTTTTCATTTTTTTTTTCATAGAAAACCATTTACCTCAGTATCTCCAGCTTACAGCTCTTCAGTCCATCCAGAAGCTTCACTCCTGAATCCTGCACGTCATTGTTACTCAGGTCCAGCTCTCTCAGGACACAATTTGATGACTGAAGAGCTGAAGACAAACTTTCACAGGACTGAGAAGTGAGATTACAGAACTGTAGCCTGTTTGGAGAACAAAACAAACAACATCAGACAGCTGATTCATTCAAGAATGAAGCAAGCGCCTGTATAAATGGTCCACTGAATCATTGACTCAAATGACTAATTCAACATGCAGAATCATTCAGTAATGGAACACAGCTGTGTTGCTCAGAGATGCGCGACTGTTCTGTTGTGAATTTTGATTTTGCTCTATTCGGTTAACGAAAATTGCTCTAAACAGTCAACATGGACAATTTTGTACTAAAATGTATATTAACTACTCGTTTGAACTCTATAGAATCAATGTCAAATTTGCAATAGTTTTCAGGGAAAACTTCACTCTCTTGGTCGTGTCACGTTGGCTAAATTTTTTTTAATGGAGAACCATTTACCTCAGTATCTCCAGCTTACAGTTCTTCAGTCCATCAGAGAGCAGCTTCACTCCTGAATCCTGCAGGTCATTGTTACTCAGGTCCAGCTCTCTCAGGACACAGTTTGATGACTGAAGAGCTGAAGACAAACTTTCACAGGACTGAGCAGTGAGATTGCACCCACAAAGCCTGTGTTGAGAACAAAACAAACAATATTAATGTGTTTATCAGGTAATGATTATAATCTGAAACACATTTGACTTGCAAAAACATTTGACTGTAGTGATACAGTTAAGGTAAACTCAAGAATCATTGAATACATCAGATTTTTATTTAACCTGTTGGAGCTACTTTTAAAGGTGCACTAAGCAATATTTGAAAAACACACTTGCAGCCAATCAGCAGTAAGGGGCATATCTAGTATCACGAGCAGAACAAATTTTTGTGTAAATCATTCATAAAGCCATTCTGACGTAAATTTTCGGATTCATGAAAGTGTTCGTATTTTCAAAATGTTAGTTGGTACGAAAGACATGTACACCTGCTCCTTACCACGTGTAAATGGTGCGTAAAACGTTCTGTGTTCTTTTTGGCAAACTGATGACACTGAATTTTGATGCACTGCCATCATAATATTTTACAAGTTCATTTGCCCCAGATTTATTTTTATTTTTTTTGGTAGCTGGGAGTTGATGCTTGTCACTGTCACTTTTTACCCAGCCGTCCAATCAATGGAGGAGAGGCGGGGACAAATACTACACCGACCAATCATCCTACTTGTACAACAACTGAACAACAATAGAGAAGTTAATATTGCTGGTTACTGCATTTTTATATTCAGTAATATTCTTAAAATGAGATACTAGTAATATGTTACTGCCGTGGATATTTCAAATCATAGCAACCAAAGCGTCTCTCAGGCTCAGCCAGAAAAACTCTGTGCCACCAAAGCGTCCAGCACCACCAGCTGGCTGTTTTAAGAAGAGCACCTGACAGTTTTTCAGCTGGCTAAAAACGCTTTTGTGGACACACGTTATTGAATATTTATTGTTAGGCATATGGCCTATTAGTGTTTTTAGCATTTATGCAATATACTGGAGCCAAACCTGAGAAAGTAGACCAGAATATTCCACTGCGTTCCTACGAAAATGAAGTCTCAAAATCCAAATGAACCGAACAAGTTTGAATTGTAGCCTCTGGACCAATCAGACACACCATTTTTCATTTGATTTAACAAATCAATTATTCATTAGATTAACAAACATTCACAGACCCCTCACCCAATAAACATACTGGGTGCCAAGATGTCTGTGAACGAGGCCCAGGACACTGGTTACCATGGCAACCACGACACCTTTGCTAGACCAGATACATTTACGACCTAATGGCATGTTGAGAATTACCCTTCTCACTACAATTTCCATAGGAAAGACAGTGCACAGTAGAAATTGACTCTTCTCTAATTAATCCATAGGAAAACCTTTCTTTGAATAAACACACATATCCTTCAGGTCATTGTGTATGTTGTCTTTGAGATTTTATACTGTTTTATGCAGGCTTATGATGGAACCACTCGTTCCTGTCATCTTACCTATATGTAATCCTACCATGTTTAGTATCTATGAATTCGCCTTCTGATGATCTAAACGAGCGTGTATATTATATGTTGGTACATAGGCAATATATTAGTGTCCTGAGAATCTTTAGTAATTT